GGGAGGGGGGGGGGAGTTGGTGGTAGGCGCCGCCATTGTGCTTCGACTACACTGAAGCAAAAACCGAGCACTGTTCTCACAGCACGCAGATCAATTAAACGACCTCAAAAAGAACGTAGCACAAGTCCGAGTCACGGACAGGATCGGGCAGCAGTGGTAGTCGCGACGCACAAGGAGCATGAAATCGCAATTCGAAGGCATGGATAGCCAGCCTCGCCACTGCTCAACGAAAACCACATGCGGCGCTAGACGATGGAGTTCTCCACGATACACGGGAATACGCAACAGCAGTTTGTACGCACCTTGCCAGCTTCCTGCTCCTTCGCCAGGGACGCCTCCAGAGCAGAAACTCGCTCCTGTAACTTTGCGAGAGCCCCCCTCTGCTGCCGCACGGTGGTTTCGGCCGAGTCCCTCGATCGCCTCACTTCCAACGCCTCCCTTCGCGAGGCTCTCAATGAAACCTCCAGCATGGAACATCGCCTTCTGATCTCGTTTAGATCCCCACCACCTCCCTCGCCCCCCAACTTCTCGTCGTCACCGCCACTCGCGTGCCCCCCGGCCGGAACTGAGTCCGCAGGGGCGACTTCGTCCGAAGCAGGATCTCGTGGTCGTTCTAGTGACGCGACTCTCAAATCGGCAGCAACGGTAACGGCCGAAACAGCAGCATCTTGGCGGGGTAGCGACCCAGACTCGTTCGCCTTCGGAGAAGGTCCGGAGAGGGGGGAAGGAGGGACAACCTCCAAGAGGCCCTCCAGCTGAGACCTGGTGTGTTCGTGGTGGGTGTCGGAGCTAGTGCTGATGGTATCGAGGGGGCGGCGCTGTCAATTGTGGGCGTCTTAGGGATGTAACCGCGACATCGTTCCAGAGACCTCTACAGGGTTGTTGGTAATGGAGGCTATCTCGCGCAGAGGCAAGGTGGGGATTGACAAGATTCCTCGGGTGCTGCTTGTCACAGCATCACGGTACACCCGCACCGTGAGATATTCGACACAATCGTCGAGGAAGAGCTAGGATAGGAGCAGGGGAGGAAAGGAAGCTGTGTGCCCAGAGTGTCAAGCAAAAACAAAAGCGAGGCAACTCTGGCCAACTACGTGTTTACTTATAGCGCGTTGCAAGAAGAAAACCCAAATACTACTGGGCGTGACATAAGACGGAGACAAGAGTTATCCTACGTGCTTCTGGACAGCCCCTCCAGCTGAAAGACTTCGAGGCTGTAAAACCATCACGACCATGACAACGATCAAATAAGTAGTCTTCGCTGACCTTAGGGACATCTGGAGGTCGATAGCCGACAGGAGCTGGGCGTGCTTCACGGCACAGCGTCTTTCCGACGCCTCCTTCTCCGCCTGCGGAACGCGCCAAAGCGCCGCCAGAAAAATGAAGAGGAAAAAAGCGACCGACGCAGGTTCAAGAAGTCAAGGCATGCTCGCGAAACATGGTTTCACCGCTGCGGGTCCAGCATATCCCCCCCCCCCCNCTGTACAACATCTACTGCCGCTGCGTATTGCGATCTGCCGCGAAACGAATGTGCAGGCAAATTCTCATCCGGCGGCGCAAGTCAGGCGGATTGAGAAACGTACCTGAACCGCACGTCCACATCATTTTCACGGGGCGTTGGGCGGTCACTCGCATGCCGTGCGACAGATAGCCCTGGTCAACCAAGACAGATCTCAACGCCACAAGGGAACTCGCTCACCTGCAGAGCAGCCTGTTCATACTCAAGCGTCCGCACCCTTGCCGTGGCCCCTCTCGCCCGTCTCTCGGCAGCCATCGCTCGCTCTGAAAAGCCGGAGATCTTCCTCTGGCCTGCCTCGCGCAGCTCCTCTGCGGCGGCCGCCTTCGTCAGTAGCCGACGGCGCACGGAACGGGGGGTACGTGTTGTGTTTTTATGTGTGTGGGGGGGAGGGGGGCGACGCAGACATCGTGTGGAGCGCAACTAAGCCAGACACGATCAGCACCACAAGCCAACGCAAGTTCCAGAGGAAAATCAGTGAAGTCCGATTTCCAGAGGGAACATCAAGGAAAGTTCCAACTCTCCGATACCATCACATACCCTTTTCTTCCTCCCCCGGCGGTATCCCCCCCCTCTTGGTCCACCCCCTGGTGTTTACCATCGGGGTTGGGTTTTCGTCGCTTGGCAACGACCTTGTAAAACAAGCCGCCCCCCCTGGTGTTTGCCATCGGGGTTGGGTTTTCGTCGCTTGGCAACGACGTTGTAAAACAAGCCAATTCACTTCGTGAACTCGGCAACCAGGTTACCGTTTTTTTTTTACCTCTTTTTGTTTGGTGGTAACCATAATGGTGGTCGAGTGGATCATGTTGTGCGGGGTCGAGAA